TATCTTGAAAGCAATGATGACGTTTTTTATTACGTTACGGTAAAAGACAATTTCAAAAAAGAAAAAATAATATAAATATAAAAATAAAATATAAATATAAATATATATATATATATATTTATATTATATTCGTATAAATACAATTACTTAAGGAAGGATTAAATATTTACAAAGCTTAAAAAGACAATGACTGTGAAATAGATTACGTGAAAAAATCAAACGAAAACGAAGGTAGTTGCGAAAATAAAAAATAAATAACTCCCTTACCCCAAATTGTAAAACTTTAAAAAAAAAATACACTTTAGTAAATTTTTTAAATTGTTATGTTTCGAAAACGTATATAAAACGTAACATTAGTTCAACGTTGTTTTCTTTGATGTTGACTCTATCGTGGTATTTCAACGCGATATCTTGTTTCCAAATCAACGCTTGAATCAATGTTCGTAAATTAAAGTCAGTTCAAGGTTAATTTATTAACGTTGAATCGATGTTGATATTTTAACGTCGATTTTATGTTTCCAAAAAAACGCCTAAATCAACGCCCTTAAATCAACGCGTTTTCAAAGTTAAATCAACATTAAAATGCTTGGTGGGGGTAAAGTAACCGATTGAGACGAAGCTATTTTACAGTAAATATAAACTAAAAGATGATAATTAGCAATACGGCAGTAGTAAACAATTTTTTACTGCATTATCAAGTTCATTTACTTAATACTTAAATGTATGAATGTAACCTTTTTACCAATTGATACCGATTGATTAGCGAAATATGTACTTACGTAAATATTTTTAAGAAAAATAGTTACATACTACATTTTTAGTAGGTATGATTTACAAATACAATTAAATTATGTGCTCTCCAATTATTATTGTAAGACATCTAAAGAATAAAATTACAAAATAACTACGACCTGCAGAATGATACTGATGACAATGTACAATTTATTAACAATCAAGTTGAATCTCTTTGTTCTGTGTCAGTTAATAGAGTGATTTTAACGAGAATATAAGTAATAATAATACATTAGATTCTGAAGATTTTTCTGATATAAGTTTTGACAACGATGAGTTAAAAACACCAAGGTTTAATACATACTTTACCTTTAAGTGTTGGAGAATACGTTTACATGTGTAATTTAAATGGTATATTGAATATGCTGGAGTCATATACAGGAAATAAGTTATATCTCAATCCAATTTGCTTAAAAATTAATATAGACGGAGTTCCTTTATTTAAAAGCAGTAGTAAGCAGTTTTGGCCAATACTTGGTGCATTTGGCGCAATGAACCTTTTATCACAGCATTATACTGCGGTATGCAAAAAGCAGATCCTGTTTCTGAATTTCTAATTGATTTTTTTATTAGAATATGAAGATTTAAAGGCTATTACTACAGAAATTATCTATTCTGTAGTAATAGATAAACCTAATGTTGTTTTTAAATTAGTAAAGTAACTTTTAAAGGCAGGTAATTTATGTAACTCATTTTAATAACTAATTATAAACAAAAATAATAAAAATTTACAAAAAATTTGTTTAATTTTATAATAAAACAAACCAGGTCATTTGATCGTTTGGCTTGGCTTGGTTAACAACAAGAGTGAAGTCCTTGTAAACCAAGTAGTATTCTTTGCTATAATGTGACTTGGCTCTGATGAGAAAAAGAATATTTTCCATGCCAGCCGTTTCATGATGAAACACATAATAAAATCTGTTTGTTGTCAGTGTAATCATAAAATGTGTAATTTTTAATTTGATAACATATTTTAATGAGTATTTTTTATAGCCAGTACAGTTGTTGCCACAGCAACAGCATCAACAAGTGCATTCCTAACTGTAATGTGAGGGAAATTGATAGATTGCTTTTATTGTATTATCATTTTTTTTAATAACTCCAGCTGCTCTTCTTTTGAGTTTGAGTTTGAGTTTATTTATTTCAGAAATCAATTATATAATACATTTATATATTTTGATGAGGAAGTGCTACACCAGTCACTTCCATGCTGAAAGAAGACACTCGTGTGCCAATCATTCGTCTATTACGAATTTCAATTTATGAACACTAACGTTGAACGAGTTGATTGATTTAGCTCTTCTGGTACAACAAATACTTTGGTACAACAAATATTTTGTTATACTCATAGCAAAACAAATATTTTGTCATACTGGGCTTAGTACATTGATTGATTACTTTTATTGTACATTTTTATTTTTTAATTAAGCTACAAATGTTTCTTTGAGTTCAATCAATCAGTGTAATAAGTCAAGTATAAGAGAGTACAATTAGTTAGTTGTTGTAATCACTTATACTTTACTTATTGCATTGATTGATTGCTTTTATTGTAATTTTTTTATGTAGCTGCAGCTTCAAAAACAACAAATATAAGTGACTACAACAAAACAGTTGTTTTACTCACCTATGCTTGACTTATTCCATTGATTAATTGTTTTTATTATTATTATTTTTTTAATAGTAGATTTTATGTAGTAGTATCTTTCTAGTAGATGATTGGATTGTAAATATATATATATATATATATATATATATATATATATATATATATATATATATATATATATATATATATATATATATATATATATATATATATCATATATATATATATATATATATATATATATATATATATATATATATATATATATATATATATATATATATATATATATATATATATATATATATATATATATATAGATATATATATATATATGTATATATATATATATATATATATATATATATATATTTATATATATATATATATATGTATGTATGCATATATGTATATATATGATGCGACCGTGGCGCAGTGGTTACAGCGCTTGCTTTATAAGCAGGAGATCCAGGTTCGAAACGAGCTCAGGACATATTTTCGCGTCACGGTAAGGAAGGAGACGTAAACTTCTTGGTTAAATGCAATTCCGTGGTGCTCTGTGACAAGACCGTTAGTTCTTCTTGGGGTACCTAAATAACAAAAATATATATAGCCCCCCCCCCTACCTTCTGGCAGAGTTATGGTTAAATTAATTTTTGTAAATACAACCTAAACGATTTCCATTTGCATTAAGTATCAATTTTCGGCACAAGCAATAGGTATAATAATTTATTTGCCAAACTTGGCATTAAAAACAGCTTAATTGAATGAACTTGTTAAGTGTTTTTTTTTTAACAGAAAAGCTTTATAAAAAATATCAAACATATCAAGTTAACTTAATTGAAGGTTTATAATCTAAAACTGGTCCGTATATATATATGACCTAAAAATGATCTAAAACTGGCCCGTTTACTGTGTCTATTTTTGCTTTTTAAATAAATCTTAATGAGAGGGCTATCATTTTATTATTGCCAATTTTATTTTATATATTTTCCAAAAACACCTGAAGAAACTTTACGCAATTGTCTTCTATGTTGAAAATACTTTTATTATGTAAAAAATAATGAAGTAAATGAGTACAGTTTTAAAGTATTATAAATTAATTGTTAACTAAATTTAAAACATAAGTTAGTTGTTAACTAAATAAAAAAGTTATCTCATCAGTAAGAACCAGTTTGATATGAATCTATTGATTCTATGCTTTGATTCAGTTGGTATGAATATAATGATTCTAGGCTTTTTTCTCTTCTATTCTGAACTTTTTATCCATTCGCTTAATGCGTGAATTATCTATCTTTGTTTCCACAGCCTTTGAAATTTTCCCTTTTAAGCCAAAGTGTTCTAAAACCTTCAGTATTCCTTTCCGTCCATCATCAAAACAAATAATAGCTGAATGTACACCCATTTCAATGTTTTCCCTCCCAATAAATACAGTTTTTGGTAAATACAAAGTATAAAATTTTTAACAGTACTGTTACAACTTATCAGCATATTTATCTGTCTAAGTTATGATTGTGACTTCAGATATAATATTTAGACGACTAAAGACATATAGCAGATACACCTTAGTATTTGTTAAGAGTAAAGTAAGACATATTTTATAAGAGGAAAATAAAGAATAAATTTCTACATATAGTAACTAGGGACGTTGCTATTGGCTTTGCTGATACCTAAGAGTGTTTAAAGATGTAAATATGGTCCAAAAAATATTTTTTATTGTTTCCAATGTTAACTGCATAAAAATAGAGATATCAAATGGTGAAATTACACATTAAAAAAAATTCTCAAATTTTTTTTTTGATCATTTATTTGCATCCCTACCACTTTAGTTACTCAATCGAAATTTTCCCAATTGCCACCAAATGCCTCATTTTTTAATGTAGGAAGTTTAATTGTTTTATTGTCTAAAATGTAGATACAGAACTAGTATAATCATAAGACTTAGTGGAAAATTTACTAAAACAATTGTTTATTCTCACTTAAAGTTAATGTTAAATCATTGGTTAAACCGCTGTTGAAGCATTTTTATGAATTATAATACTTTTCAATAAACCTAGGCTCATAAATTCTAATTTTCTTAGAATGATATCTCTTAATTTTAATCATTTAGGTTATTATATTATAACAAAACTTATTATAACAAAAAGCTTAATATATCTCGAATTTAAAACATAGTATTAAGAAAGTAATGCTTTACAAAAATTGTACTGCGCTCTTAAACTGAAGTGATTGAAGCCTTCGAATAACAAAAACACTAAATTGTTATAATGTAAAACTCATTAAATTATTGCGCTGAAATTTATGATTAGGAAAAGAGGGATGGAGGAGGAGGAGGGGGGTGATTCATATAAAAAAAAGTTTTACAGAAAAAAAACTGCCATAAAGTTTCCAAACACTTTAAAATAATCGGGTTATAAACTTTACTTCTAGTTTAGCTTTAGCTAACTCTTTTTTTATTTTCTTGATTTAGGATTTTTGTTGTTCCCAGGCTCAAATAATTGCATTTTTTTTGCAAAGCATTCTAGTTTGATAGAAGCATAAACATAATCATAAGTTTGCTTTATGTTTAAAAATAGTAGAATCAACCAATAAAAAGAAAAAGTTTAATAAATCTTTAATTTTGACAGTTGTACAATATTACAATGATATAAAAATAACTTTATAATAATTTTTTCTTCTTCATCACAAAGTTAATCTTTAAATTTATTTGTAAATCTTTTATTCTAAATAAACTTCTACGTCAACGCATCCATAAATTTTGCCATTTTTTCTTGCTTCAGCATTAATTCTGTAATTTCCCTAAATAAAAATATTTTTTCTGATATTGCATTTATTGTGTAGTAATTAGTGATAGCAATATCAGAAAGGTCGTGTATAAGGTTTTCAGTTTAGTGTCAATATTGTTGTTTAATCGTCAATACTGTGGTTTGGTATCAATGCTGTGGCTTGGTATCAGTAGCCTACTGGAAGGAGAACTACCCCGCAAAAGAGGGGATGGGGGCGGAGCTCAGGGAACCTCGCGGAGGTTTACGAATCTTACTCATATTATTCACATTTTTTGATTTTTTGATATGAGTGAAACCCAGCAATTGTTGGGTTTCTTAACATTTTAACATGGTCATCTTAGGATGGTCCTTATAAATAATTTTTTTATAAGTGTGCTTTGGTTTTCAAAAGATATAACTACACTATCTCTAAAAACAAATTTGTAAACTTCATATAGTCATATCTTTTTAACTTCAAAACTTTGTTTGATGAAACATAAAACGTACCTCGTAGCCAAAAATATAAAAAACTATCTGAATTTTTTTTTTTGTGTGTGTTATAAACCTCTAGCAAGAAGATGTTAGTCAAATTGGGTGGGATGAAGGTAATTTAGATCTCATGCTCTTATCAAAAATATCAGAACTTTTTACTAATTGATATCATTATTAAAGTACAAAAGTTTAAAATTTTTCTAACCAGAAAAAATCTAAGATCTACCCCTACTTGGATTTGGTACAAGTCTGATGATACAAAATTTAGGTGTGATTGACACATTTTGTGGTGATTTAGTAGTCATATACGCAAAATATATTTATCAAATGTACTTACACTAACAAAAAAAGAAGGAAAACTGAAGTCTGATGGAATATTTACTGCATGATTAATATGATAAGTTCCTTTTTTAATTTGACATGGCATACCAAGGAATTCTAAGATTTTGCAATCTACCGAATGTTTACTAAAAAAAAAATTTATAAAACAAGCATATTTACATAAAATAGTATTTTATAAAAAGAAAATATTTTTTACCAATCATTAAAAGATTATGAACAGTTGCATAGCTATAGAAAAAGTTTAAAGTGGTTAGTTGCCATGATTCTATCATTTTAAGAAAATTAGAATTTAGTTCTTTTCGGAAACAAAACATTCAAATATTTATTTGCTTATACCGTCCTTCCTCTCTCCCAAAAAAAATGGCTACTAACGCTACGTTTCTATTCCTACTTATGCAGCTGATTTAAAAAAAGTATAATTATATAATAGAATCAAACTTTTTTGATTTGTTTAAACTTGCATTTTAAGCTAAAATAAAACAAAAAAAAGGAAAGTAATAATCTTAAATGATTACCAAGATCCAATTTTGTTGTAACATGGAAGTGTTATCCAAATAAATCCTACTTTTTTCTTGATTGTAAGTTCTATCTCGCCTCCATCTGGTAAATCTTCTGCAACGTCAATTGTAACCTTAAAAGGAACTGTATGTCCCGGTCTGATTTTTAATTGACCAATAACGCGATCTGCACTCCTGTCTTTAATGCCACTATCTACGAAAAGTTGAAATGGTAAAATAAGATGTAGCTGTGTACAAAAGTAATTTTATCATTATCAACAAACAGAGCTAAAAACTAAACTGCAATCTGCTTCTGATAAAAAGAGTTGCAAGATTATTTTTAGAAGTATTTCTACTCGTTAAAGAATGCTATAATTAAATAGTATTTGTCACACATTACTTACTTTTACAAAAAGTTACAGATTTAACAGTAGCTTGAGCATGCAATACCAAAAGTGCGAAAATTAGTAAACCAATCATTTTAATATCGGTTTTCTTGACTCAAGTAGAAAGTGAAACAAGATAATTTATGAATTTGCGCTTTTTGTAGAATTCTTGGTTGAACTGCTTGTTCACCTGGAATTTGTTGAATTACAGCTGTTACTTCTGTTTATACAACAAAGTCTAGAATGTTTACAAAATCCTATTATAATTTTTTTGTTAAAAAGCAATAGTTAAACGAACCAAAGTATATATATATATATATATATATATATATATATATATATATATATATATATATATATATATATATTATATATATATATATATATATATATATACACATATATATGTAACTTATTAATAGATGTTTGACAAGTTGACAAAATAATGATATGCGTTACTTGTAGTTTGCTTTATTCATTTAAAAAATTCATACTTCAATGTTCTTGAATATTCAATTATTATTTCTAAAATACCCAGTAACCAGGTTATGAAATCAGTTACTGAGTATTTCAGAAATAAAAAAATCAACATTTTTTCATGCAACATACTGTATTTTTAAAGATTTAAACTTTATTTACAAATTTTAAAGTATATGAGTAAAAAACCCTTAAATATTGTTAATCACTTATAAAAATAATGCTTTTAACCTACAAAACAAAAAAAGTCTAAAAAAAGTTCAAGATTTCTCAAAAAAAAAAAAAAAAAAAAAGATTAGCTTTATACATAGTTGGTATTTATGCATATCATCCTATTCTATCCTATAATATATTATTATTAAGGGAGGGGCACTACAAATGGGGGAAAGAAATGGAAAATGGGTTGGGGGGTATTTGACTACTTTAAGTTACAAAAACCGTTCATGTGAAGATTTTTTTTCAATTTAAATATGAATAGGAAAAAGTGGTATTCATCAAAAGTTCAAAGTTTATTTAGGTTTACCATATAATTCAGTCTGTCGTGTTACTTATACATGAAATAATTGACATACATGATAATTATGTTGACAATGATAATAATAATAATAATAATAATAATAATAATAATAATAATAATAACAATAATAATAATAATAACAATAATAATAATAATAATAATAATAATAATAATAATAATAATAATAATAATAACAAACAAGATAAACGTCTCAAGTTTGTCGTTACCTAGAAAGGAACGCAGCCTAGGTTTGTCGATTTTTAAGTTACTAAATGGCTCACTTGTGAGAATGAAATTGCTAATAGATAGATATTTGTAACCCAGAAACAGGTTTGAATTAGCGGTTACATTCAAGGAGTATTTGTATAAAATATTATAGCAACATTTTAAACATTTTAAACAATACCTTACACAATGTACAAAGTTCTGAAAACCTCTGTCATTTACATTATCAGTAGCACTTGTTGAAGTATCCAAATCGTAGACTGAATTCAGTTCTTCTAAATTGCTGTCACTAGGACTCCCTAAAAATTAATCTCTTAGTGTTTTTGAGAGCCCATCCAACTTTATAGCAAAGCTATACAATCCAGACCGCAATCTGTCAGAACCAAGGTTAGATAGCTGAGAAATTTTGCAAGACAGTTTTCTGGAATACAATTTTCAACAGTTTTTTTAAAACGTCTGGGATCTAAACATTCAGTGTCTCTAATAATGTTCCTTTTAAATGAGAAACGTTCATCTATACTAGTGCTAATCTGATCAATTACTCTATGGAAAACTTCCACTCTGAAACTATCAAGAGGATTCTCTGGTATGCTATTAAATTTAAATTCCCGTGCCATACGTTTCTTTTGATGAACGCAACTCTATTTTATCTTCTGAATCAAATTCACTAGCATCAAGGAGGGTGATGGTTTCTTCACAAACGCAATCGTCTTATAGTGGACATTTTCAAAAGATATTTTCTGCAGTTCTTGTTTTGCTGAATCGAGCATATTTCGAGCACTTAAATAATCTAAACTTTTTTTTTGTAAATATTTGGAATCGTGTTGCAAAATGGCGTACACACGTAGAAACAGAAAGGCTGCAAGAAGTACATCGAATCAACACCAATTGTAATAACGCCAATTTTACAGCAAATCTTGAGAAAATTTTTATAAAATAATTAAAAAAAAAACAAAGAAAGACTTCAAAAATTATAATTATGCAAAAGAGATGGAAAAATTCCACTTTTGTTGCATCATAAGTTCTAAGAGTTCGTTCAAGCGTCACCTGTTTTGACCACCAGCGTGTTTCACCAGTTTTTTTTTCTGACCTTTCAGTTTTACAGATCCAACTCCGTTGTCTAACAAGAACATCTGAGAAAATACCCATTCGTTTGCAAGAATTACTAATAAAAGTTTAACCAATTAAATTTTTGACAGCATTTATGTTTTCCACAAAATCTGTTGCAGATAAATTCAGAAGGTGCACGTTACACCACATGTATACAGTACTTGGTAAATTGCCTTTAATGTAACGTTAAACTCCTTGATATTCACCACGCATATTTGCTGCTCCATTAAAAGATCCACCCACAATTCTATTTTTAAACCGTTTTGTTCAAGCTCTAATTTCATCACAGTCCTGCTCCTGTTACCTCTATAATTTTTTTTTACAGCAAATAATTGCTCTATCTTGCCCTCTCCACGTACATATCGCAAGATTATCATCTCCTGATCTATCATCAACGTATCTTGACTGCCATTCACTCGAACACTAAATTTCGGATCATCAATTTCGTAGACTATATAACTTTTCATCGAGTTTGAAATAGCAGCTAGAATATTGTTAACTGTGGTCTTTAACAATGTTACTACCAAGCCTTCAAGTCCACGTGAGCTTCCCTTTTCTTTGCGTATCAAACATTCTTTCCCCTTTTGAATTGCCTAAATTGGTTTTTCTACATGATTATTAAGTGGAACGTTGATTATATTATTAATATTAGTTCTAAGATTTTTCCGTGACCAACAGATTTATTATGCAAACTGCAGAGAGATATAGTTTTTACGGGAAATTTGCTGATGGTAACAAATGATTGTATATGCTGTTAAGGACTGAAGGACACTGTGCTTTGACTCGGTTTGACTTGCTTCATTGATTACCTTAGATTTTATATTTGATAAAAAATCATTTTCCTCAATTAACACTGGGTTTCGCTCGGAAACAGTTGCTTCTTCAACAACATTACTAATATGTTCATTATGAAACAGCATCTTACATGATGATGTGTCAGAATATATATATATATATATATATATATATATATATATATATATATATATATATATATATATATATATATATATATATATATATATATATATATAGATATATATATATATATATATATATATATATATATATATATATATATATATATATATATATATATGTATATATATATATATATGTATACACATACATACACGCACACGCATATATGTTTTCACAAACACACACACAAACATACACACACAGATTAATATACAAAAAAAATGTATAAATATAATGAGAAAAAAAATAATTACCAATAAAGATTTTGTTAAAAAGAAAAGAAAAAATTATAATAAATAAATAATAACTTATCACTTTTCATATCTAAGGTTCGGCTGTTAGCTCTAAAATTTATTTAATCAATGCTAAATCTTTTAATATTTGTTCTAATTTTGTTATGCTACTGGGTAAAAAATTTTCGCTGAATGTTATCAATGATGGTTATCTTTGTGAATTGTGTTCTCTGTAGATTTGTCCCATAAAACAAATCAAATCATTGTTTCTAAAAACAATTGACTAAATTGGCGTTCCAACATCCACCAATGGAAATCAGTTGTAACAAACAGATCGCATTCAGTATTTAAACAGATCTTCAGTCTTTCGATGTGCGTAAGTAGCATCAGTAAGAATATTATAAAAATTCTTCAGAAAAAATTCTCTGTTCCTCACTCTCATATATTTAATTTTGAACTATTTTGTTATGCACATTTGTGAATGCAGGTTAGGGTGTCCCAAAAATATATATTTTTTAAAATTTCAATGCGCTCTCCACTGATCCCCATTCTATAGGTCCTAAATAGTTACCAAAATCTTTGTTTTTATTTTTTAATGGCTAGAAGTGATAGATGTAAATTCTGAGTTTTACGTTATTGTACACATGTGTATTTACATAGAAACAGCGCTATCTAGTAGGCCGGATGAATAAAAAAATTGTTCAAAAGCAATCGCTCTGAGTAAAAGTAAAAGCTAAAAGCAAATGCTCGCCGCAATTACTCAAAAATGTGTGAATAAAGTTTTGTTAATGCATATAAGCAATTGCTTTAGTGTCAGAGTAAAAGCTATATGTCGTTGTGGATATATGTAGCTTTTTTAACTTTTAATGTTTAAAAATGGCTTCTTCAAACCAGATTTCAATTGAATCAAGTGAAAATAATATAGCTAGCCAAAGTTTTAACAAATGTGAAGATGAAGTTTTTATAAACATACTGTGCAAATTGCCAGTACTTCTACAAAAAAGCCAAGTTCCAAACGTTAAAATAAAGAAAAACAAAGCATTTTTTAAAATGCAAGACCAAATGTTCCAAGCAACAGGAACAAAAATTGATATAAAAACATTGGCGAAAAAGATTGCTAACATGAAGACAAGTTTAAAAAAAAGTCTGATATCCATGGAACTGGAAACAAGCCTATAAAACATCTCCTCAAGCATCGAGCTTAATTCCAAAAAGATTAAAACTACCTGGTAAAACCAAAGAAACAATAAAATGGACGAATACAGAGCTTCAGCGTGCGATCATGCTGGAGCAGCTAAAATATTATCGATTAAAAAGTTTAAAGTTGAAATATACTACACCCCAACATGTATTAAATGAAGAGGAAATAGATATTGTTGTTGACATAAACGTTGATGGAAATATAACATAAAAACGTGAAAATAAATTTTTGTTACTGCTAAATGTGCAGAAGTTTACAATTTACTTAAATTAAGTTTTTTTTACCATGTATTATATTTTCAACATTTAAAAACGTTATACATAGAATAAAAAAAGGCTGAATTAATTTAAATTAATAGAAGTATCTTTATACATTTCAATAACTAAATTCTTCTTTAAAATGTCACTTTTTATGTTTTATTTCCAGTTAGTTTTTATGTTTCATTTTATCTTTTAAATGTCAGTTATAACTTATTTAAAAATATTTCTAAAATTTATAGCATAATATAATTATATTACCAAATAATGCATATTTTAATATCCTAATAATAAAGATTTACTACATAAAAGTATTATATTAAGTCTATAATATATTATAACTGTGAATAAGATATTAAGTCATAAACATATTATAACTGACATTTAAGAAACTTTCTTAAATTTTACTGTAAATAAAACTTAAAAATGTTAGCACATCTTAAAAATTCTTTAAATTATTTATTTATCTTAGAAAACTTTGAAAGTATATTTTTTATAACATAAACAATACAATAAATTAAAAACTATATGTTGTTTTCAATTTTTTACAAATAAAAAGACATTGCACTTAATTTAAAAGACATTGTCTCTTTATTTAATATTGCCAATGCAATATAATTTCTACGCTGCTGACCAAGTAAACGAAGTTTCTTCAATTACAGGAACGATTTCTTCGACATCTTCATCCTCGAAAATTGTTTAAAGTTTTTGCAATATTGTGCAGTATAAAGTTCGCAGTGATACATGTAGCAATCATCTTCGGCTTAATTTTTACCTATAAAATTATCACACCGTAGATACTGTTGAATCAACAGTAACTGTATAACAACAGGGATGCGGAATCCCAAAAAGGACTACGGATATGAAAAGCACAAAAAGATCATTTCTTTCTTGTTTTTGGTTTCCAGGAGCTCTAAAAATATTAATAAGTTAATTGACTACTAATAGGAATAAAATTTAAGACTTTTAGATAAGAGGAACAATAATTTTTTGAACCCGAATTCTTTGCGTATAATGGCGGCAAGAACTACGGGCTTAAAAACAGTAAGTTTCAAGTCATTAAATCTCGCGAATGTTTTACTTATAGAAAATTGTAAGTCAACAAACATGTTTAGAGCTTCTGGACACTACAGACTTGGAAAAAGTAGAGATATAAAGCCGGAGTCCTTTCGGGACTCCGCATCCCTGATGTTGATTGAATCAAACACTTTTCTATTATTAAGCTCTTCAGCAAATTCTCCATAGGGTTTATCAATTCTTGCATAGACGCAATCAATAGTTCCTATTGTACAGGTATAGTCTCTTTCGTTTGCCCATTCTAGTTTTGCTCTTAAAATTTGTTCTTCCGTATGTGGGAAAACTATATACTGAAAAGTCTTAATCAAAATTTTTTGAAGCGTCAAAGAGACAGTTTTTAAAACAGTATTGCTAAAATTATATTCCAAAAAAATAAATGTATCAAAAACGTGCTAGTATAATTATAAATAAATGCATAACGTAAAAATATATAGATATATACATTAATAGTCAAAAAATAATAAAATATATAGGTAATATAACAAAATCAATGTCCGATTATCAAAATAAAAAAAAAAGCAACTATTATAGGTGCTCGTAAAATTAGAAGCAATTGCTCGCCGTTTTTTGAGGATCCTTCCCTATGAAAATTAATAGCGATTGATATAATTCCCTCTGGAAAGCATTATTAGTTAGTATAATTCCTCATGGATTGGTTCAAATTTTTTTAAACTCCATTTAAAAAAATTTTTTTGAAGGAAAAAATTTCTAAATGGAATTATTTGTGCACAAAGGAATTTCAACTTGTGCACGAAGAAATTCTTGTGTAAACGATATATGGGAACAAACGTTGACGAAGACTACAGTAGGAGAGTACTGGATGCAAACAGGAGAAAGAGCAAGCTAGATAAGTTGAGAAAGAAAGAACTAGAGAGACAGCAAAACGTAAAAGATATCAATACACAGCAAAATCCAAGATTTTTGTTTTAAGCAAAAAAAGTCTTAAAACAAGAAAAAAATGACTTGTCCGCCACGTAAGTATATTTTTTCTTGTTTCAAGAATTTTTATTCTTAAAATAAGAATTTTTTTTTTCTTGTTTTAAAAACTTTCTTTCTTAAATTTTTTTTTTTTCTTGTTTCAAGAATTTTTAATCTTAAAACAAGAATTTTTATTCTTAATATAAGAATTTTTTTTCTTGTTTTAAGAATTTTTATTCTTAACATAAGAATTTTTTTCTTGTTTTAAGAAATTTTATTCTTAATATAAGAATTTTTTTTCTTAATATAAGAATTTTTTTTCTTGTTTTAAGAATTTTTATTTTTAATATAAGAACTTTTTTTCTTGTTTTAAGTATTTTTATTCTTAAAACAAGAATTTTTTTTCTTGTTTCAAGAACTTATATTCTTAAAATTATGTATTTTTTTCTTGTTTCAAGAACTTATATTCTTAAAATTATGTATTTTTTTCTTGTTTCAAGAACTTATATTCCTTTAAAAAAATCATTTTTTACTTGTTTCAATGTTATTTTTATTTAAAATAATATTCTATTTTTTTTTTCAATAATATTTCCCCTGAACTATAAAACAATATTACAAAAGTACTTCTATGGAAAAAATGAAAAATTATTTTGAAATTAGGATGATATATAATAAGAATATTCAACAAGCATTTATACATTTAAACAACAAATCTAATCGTTGAAATAACAAATTATTCTTTGGAATGTTTTATTATTGTTCATGCGTACAGCGGCAATACTCCTCCTATGTCCAAAAAAAGTGTACTCCAATAAGATCCATCACGAAGTCAGAAAATGAAAAACTTCATAAAATAATCTTTTGCCACACATAATAATCACTTCGTCTCCATCGTCTGTTACGTACAGATAAGGATTTCTTATACCTGAAAATAAATTTTACAAACTCAAAATTTAACAATAATATCTTTTCATATCTTAAAATATCGACAATTTATAACTTATTTTAGTTTTACTAATTTTGAGGGTTGTGTATGCATGCATACCTACCTACCTGTATTTGGGTGGCAGTGGGCGAGAAACTGCCAACTTGTGTATTACATAATGCAAAAGAGTATCAATGTCTTCATTCTTGCTGAGTCAACTGTGACAGAAGACTTTGATACATGTGCCATGTCGCCAACATTCTGAATTAAATAATAATAATAAAAAAAGCATACAACTTTAAAAAGCAGAGAAAACTTATAGAATAACCCATTAGAGGACATAGCAGTTTTGAAAATACCTTCTCATTTAAAAAAGGCTTTGTGATTTTGAAACACTATTTCATTTTATCCAATAAATATATGAAATCACAAATGAAAAAAAAAAAAAATTTTTTACCAATAGCACATTAGGGACACATTGATATTTCTCTAAAAATGCTGCAACTCTATCAACTCTCTCAATTGGAAATTTATTTACCCAGGTTAATAAATTAAAATTCTATACTTAGTTCAATTAAAATGCACCAGAACAAAGTTCTAGTGCATTTTAATTGATCATGTTATAAAAATAAGGATAAAAAATGTAAAAAAATAAATTTAATTAATAATACTAAATTTACTAATTGAAAAGTATTGTTTTCTTTACTTGCTTTACTTTGCATGTATTTGGAAACTTGCAATTGCTTAAAAGAAAACTCACACATATATGTCATATATGTGTATGCATGCAACATAAACATGGATATTTAGAAATAGTACTAATACTAATCTTAAGTAAAAACCAATTGTATAATAATAGCAATAACAATATTAAAACAATTATAACGAGGTAACAAATGTTAACAATTATATTTATATTAATATAATAATAACAATAATAATAGTAACAATAATATTGATAAATATTAAATTTAATATTAAACAATAACAATAAGTAATAGTGATATGAATAAAAGTAAAATAACTTTGATATTTATATTACATATAATCCTACCAAGAGTAATAATAATGACCCACAATGAGCCCAACATTTTAAGAACAGTAATTACATTTCTCCAAAATAAAAAGACTTAAAGATGAGTTTTAATAGTAAAGTTTAGTGATATAAAGTGATAAGTGATATAAAGATATAAAATATAAAAAATTAATTATTCTATGAATAAAAAAATGATAAATTATTTCATGATTTTATGCATTGGTTTGTGATGTGATTTGTTATGCTGTACTTAACTGAACAATGATTTAGAATATATAATTTAAGGTTGCTAAAAGTGGAAGATAATTTTGAGAATTTTTTATAGAAGTAAAGAAATTACAGATTGGAAGAGGTAGGGTAACTTGTGTGTGATTTCAGACAAATAGACAATTTAATAGATGAACAAGAGCACACAATTTGATTTTAAATAGAAAGAAAAGAATATTAGAATTAGAATGATATTATTGAAAATAAACTAATTCAAATATCTTTTTTATAGATTAGATATTTATAAAAAATTATTGGTTCATAAATTATAAGTATATATAATATATCATATTAGAGTGTTTGTAGTATGTTTGAGAAATAAAATTTATATTAATAGGTATGTAGACTGATTTTTTTAAATTGATCCAATACTAGAATGCTATATATCATTGAAAAGCCCTCAAATACAGTATTTTAAAGGTGAAAAAATGATGAAAATTAAACAATTCTATAAAAAAATATAACGTTTTTAGTAGCAATTTTTCAATATGGATTTAATGGATTTCTTGATAAAACTGTGGTCAAAAAAAAAAAATTTTCCTACATAAATTATTATAACTTTGACAATTCTTATTCAAATATCTATAACTTATTATCAAAAGATAGATGTAAAAATGGGCTATAATTTCAAACTAGTGTCTAGGGCGCATGGAGGGATCCAGAAAGGGTGCTAATCCGCCACCTACACCTCACAAAAATACAATTTTTTTTTTAAAATAGTGTTTTCTTTATAAAATTAATAATATTTATATACAACAAGTTATTATTTATTTATTTCGCATCACTAGCAAATATTACAGGTTTATCTTAAAGTTGGGTGTTGGGTTTTGGGGAAGGTTTAACACACCCTATCAAAATTTCATTCTTTTAATTATTACAATCTTTACTAAAATGATTAAATCTATTATAAAAAACAAAAAATATATTTCAACACTATAACAAAGAGTAACTAGTGGTGTATAGATTGCTTTGATGGAAGAGGGCGTATACTGCCTCCCCCCCCCCCTCTGCCATGAACCTGAAAAAAAAAATTTCTTTTTTAAAAAACAGAGAGAAATTAGTATAAAAAAATATTTTAACACATTACAAAATGCATCAGAGTAACCATTTTGTCATGAAAAAAGACGGATTACACACTCCAACCTAAAAAAAAATACACGAAAACAACAAGCCTTTTGAAATAAAAAAGTGTAGTATAGTATGTATAAATTGTCTTTATGCCCCCATTTCATAAAGGCAATTTATACACCTAGAAGTGTATAATTTGTCTTTATAAAAAGATGAGCAAGCCATCCCCCTCCTCTGTCGGAACCAAATAAAAAAAATTTAATTACAATTTAACAAAGAAGTCTTTAAATATTTTTTTAAAGAAAAAGAAATTAGAATAAAAAACTATTTTACCACATTACAAGATGCATCTGAGTATACATTATCATGTAAAGGAACAGATTAACCACTCCAACCTGAGAAAAAAACACACAAAAAAAACAAGTTTATTGAAATAAAAAATGTAATTATTTCTTGTCTGGGCTTCTAGTAAATAATTTAATTTTTAAATTACATTAAAGAAACAAAATGAATAATTTTTAACAATAGACACCACATAAAGGTAAGCCAGAGCCAATTATCAATTTGCAAGCCACAAAACTTGAGGTACCTACTTGCAAGCCACAAAACTTACTGTACCTTATTCAAGCAACAAAACTTGTGGTACTTATTTGCTAGTCAAAAAACTTGTTGTACTTATTTTCAAGCCACAAAACTTGCAAAACCTATTTGCAAGCCATAAAACTTGTGGCAGTTATTTTGCTGGTTACAAAACTTGCTATACTGTCAGCATTTTTACATTAATTTCATATTCCAATTTAAAAAATTCAAACTTCCCCGATATAACAACAGCAACTAGCTGGAGTTTTTAATCTTTTGACAGTTCAATATCAGTTCCATCTAGTTTCCAATAAGAAATAGTGTAAACTTTGCCTTGTTATTTCTTGTTTACTTTTTTCAACTCCACCATCATAAATGGCAAAATGAAAACTTAAATAGAAAATTAACAATGAAAATATAAAAAAAATCTAATTACAAACAACAAACTAACACTTGGAATATTGCTGCAAAGTTAAAGTAGTAAACAATAAATTAATGATTATTATTAATTTTTTATTAATTTGAAATTTATAATTCAAAATTATTAATATAAAACAATATTGATAGTATAAAAGATAAAACTGTTATTGAATATTATTAGTTAATAACAATTTTATCTTTTAAACTATTAATATTGCTTTAACATTATTAAAACACTTTAAAAACATTTACTTAATGATTAACTTTATGTTTTTAAAGTATTTTAATACAAAAAGTTATAACTGTTATTGACTATTAACATTAATTTATTGTATACTACTTTATTTTTGTATTTAATAATTAACATGTTTAGATAATGGAATATATAAATTGTATACTACTTTATCTTTTAATTATTGTTTACAATAGCCTAGGCTTTTGTTAGTAAAGTAAATAAGTGTAAAGATAAATAAGTGTAACATCACATAAAGTATGCGATCTTTACACTTACTTGTATGGTGTTTTTATAAAGTTGTCCACTGATACTTTGATCAAAGTATTCTCAATTGTAACTCAATTGAGTTAACAATTAATTCAAAAGCAACAATTTTACTGAAGTTTTAGTCTTAAACGTTAAGAATTTAAAAAAAAAATTTAAATTTATCAACATAATTTAGTTTTAAAAATAATTATTACTTATACTTTTATTTAAAAAAATAATTTACTAGTTGTTACAGAGTCCAACAAAACTTCATTAATTTTTTCCATGTTATTATTTAATAATAAAAATCCGAATAAACATTCTCGCAATAACAATTGTTTTGCAAATAGCCCCCCTAGCTGCCCCCGTAATTTGCTAAAACCGAAAAAAAAAATCAGAAAAACAGAAATTAGGTACCAAAAGTGTTACACTTAGTAAACTACCTGCTCGCTTTTTTTTTTCGTTTAAATTTGACATTTACATAGAAAATGCATGTAGAAAATTGTTTAAATAATAAATAGAGCGGGATCAACATTTCTTTTACTACAAATTCAAGTGAGAACAATGTCTATATTTTCATGCAAAATTTGAAGCAAAATAACCCATAAAGAAGTTTAGTAACCATACATAAAAGTTATATAGAAATCACGCTTAACCTTTCTTCTTTCAAAAACAAATTTTATTTGCATATTTTTCTAAAAAGAAATACCACAAAAGTACGTTTTACTAAGACTACTGAAAAAATGCAGTATGCGTGGTAGAACCCTTTGAAACCTATCTGCTCCTTTTTTTTTTTCGTTGAAATTTGATATGTGCATAGACATTGCATGCAGAAATTTGTTTGAATAATAAATAGACCGGGATCAATATTCCTTCGACTACATATTTATGTGAGAACATCAACCTATGTTTCAGAACCAAAATAACCCATAAAAAAATTCAGTAACCATACATAAAAGTTATATAAAAATCAAGATTAATCTTTCTTCTTTCAAAAAAGTATCTATCTGTATATATATTTCTAAAAAAAAAACATAACAAAAATACGTTTGCCTAATGCTACCTAAAAAAAAGTTAATAAAACGAGCCACAAAATTTTAGCACAATCGGTTCCGTAAATCGTGATTTCCGCGTACCTATTATTAAAAGAGATTTGCTTTTTACTAATACAATCTATTTGACTTTAGAAAAATATATTGCTAGTTTAATACAGTTTTATTGATGTTATTCTATTTATGAAAAAATTGGGTGCTAGGTTTGAATACAACAAACAACATTTGGTCCAAATACTCCATTCAACACGAGTTTAATAAATAAGATGCAGCATTTATTTTTACAAAACCAAAATTAAAAAAAAGTTTCTATATAAAAAATCTAAGATCCGCAGCCATTTTAAAATCTCTGAAATTTCTTATGAACTTTTTAAACATGCGCTCATAAACATAACGCTTGTAATTGACTGTAGGTTTTTAAGATTATGGGGCCCTAATGACAGTTGGGGGGTAGGCGGAAGGGGTAGAGTCTTTAGCCACACAAAAACTCCTTGATCCGTCGCTCGGCAGTTTATTCATCTTTATTAAATTCATTTATTATAAAGAAGTGCACAACTTTGGAGCACTTCAAACCAATTCGCTCTTATGCATGCTTGCACCTTACATTTATATTATTCTGCTACTACGTCGCCCATACAAAAGACTTACTTTTATGCTGTTTAGATTTATGCAGATTTGCAGATATGAATATTGTATTTATTAAAGGCAAATTCTATAAAATTCTTGAAGTATATATCTCTTTCTGGTTTGTATTTTAGTCTTATGGATGAAATGGATTAGATTATTTGATTACATAAAATTATGAACACAAGATCTATCAGAGGGTGGGGAGGATTTTCAGAAAGGGAAATTCAGTGGCTTTAATTTTTCTGAATTCTTTAATTTTTTTTAGGTATACCTGCAGGTATCTATCGATATATATATATATATATATATATATATATATATATATATATATATATATATATATATATATATATATATATATATATATATATATTATACATAAATAATATATACATATTATTTACAATCAAAATGTTACAATATTATAAAATTAAATACAATGGTTTTTATTGAAATATCTTTAAATAAGAATGGAAATCTAAAATAAGAATCAAGTTCTTAAAATAAGAATCAAGTTCTTAAAATAAGAGCAAAAGTTCTTAACCTAGAATCTTGGATTTTGCTGTGTAATGTTTTGTTGTCACATGACTCCATGACAGAAGAGATTCAATTCAGCAGTGAAGAAGAAAAGCCAAACGAGGACTCTAAAATCAGCGAGGAAGAAGACTTTCTGGGTAACAGTCGGAAACGCAGGTATAGTTTTATTTTAATAACATAGTTGTAATTTTCACAAGCTAAAACTGTTTTATTGAAAAGTATATAATTATAAATAGGTAGAAAAGTGTTGTAAAATGATATCTAGGTACAATTCTGGAGAGAGGAAAAATCTACACAGCAAAATCCAAGATTCTAGGTTAAGAACTTTTGTTCTTATTTTAAGAACTTGATTCTTATTTTAAGAACCTGATTCTTATTTTAAGAACCTGATTCTTATTTTAAGAACTTGATTCTTATATTAAGAACCTGATTCTTATTTTAAGAACTTGATTCTTGTTTTAAGAACTTGATTCTTATTTTAAGAACTTGATTCTTATTTTAGATTTCCATTCTTATTTAAAGATATTTCAATAAAAAACATTGTTCCTAATTTTATAATATTGTAACATTTGTATATAATATTTATATATATTTAAATATGTATACATATTATATACAAAGAATGTTTGTGTGTGTATATATATATATATATATATATATATATATATATATATATATATATATATATATATATATATATATATATATATATATATATATATATATATATATATATATTTATATATATATACCTACCAGTGGCGGATTGAGGTTTAGTGTCGCGGAGGGGCCAAGTCAATGATTTGGGGCGACCGGGGTTGTCTTTAATAATTTGATCATATAATTTATTTTTTTTTATTGTTTTAGGGGGCGCCTTTAAACCGTTCTAGAGGGGCGTGGGGGCAGCTCGCCCCCCCCCACGCCTTATACTAAATCCGCCACTGATACCTACAGGTATACCTTAAAGAAATTAAAGAATTCAGAAAAATTAAAGCCACTGAATTTCCCCTTCTGAAAATTCTCCCCACCTTCTGATAGACCTTGTGTTCATAATTTTATGTAATCAAATAGTCTAATCCATTTGATCGCCATTAAGACTATAATACAAACCAGAAAGAGTCGAATACTGCGAGAATTTTATAGAATTCGCCTTTAATAAATGCAATATTCATATCTGCGAATCTGCATAAATCTAAACAGCATAAATGTAAATCTTTTGTATGGGCGACGTAGTAGCAGAATAATATAAGTGTAAGCAGTGCCCGCCTTAGCCTTTTTGCCGCCCTCGTGCGAAATTTGTCCTGCCGCCCCTGAAAATTTTATAAACGTGCTGGTAAATTACATGGAAAATAATAACAAATCGAATTTAAAAATATTACTTTGCAATAAAACGCTACATACAAAGAAACATTTTTTGTTTATGTTTTACACAAAATACATTTAATTTTTTAAATTAATCTTACGAGCCTTCTTATCACCAAAATCTTTGATTAGGGTTGAAAAATCAAGATTTTCAGCAATATTCTTTTCAATCGATAGGGTTCCTAAACTTGAAAGTCTATCCTGCGACATTGTTGACCGCAGATAAGTTTTTATTAGTTTCATTTTGGAAAAGCTTCTTTCTCCACTCGCTACAGTGACAGGTATTGTTAGCAAAATTCGCATTGCAACCCATGTGTTTGGATACAAATCTTGCATTGTGTGCTGTTTTATAAAGTTTAAAACAATAATAGGAGTAATTTTATCCTTGACCATTTCAGAAAGAAAAGGTTTAATGCTCATCAGTTCATCGCAAAGGAGAATACCATTAATGTCCGATTTTAGATTTACGGTAAGTTTACTTTGAAAAGCTAAACATGATTTTAGAATTTCTTCTCTTTTTTGCAAACTATCGACATTATACAAAAAACCCTAAACTTCGGAATAATTCTCCAACTGTATAAATCTTTCTCTCATTGAAATTAAAGATGTGTCTAAAAGAGGATTGAAGAAATCGATTTCTAATTTTTTTTTAGGAGAAAATAAATAAATCCCATCTTGGGCTGGTTTGTCAAAATGGCGTTTCACTCGTATTATTCTTTTAAGTGGTTTAAAAACAGGCTCCACTTGTAATTCTATAGCCAAATCCTTTGCTTTTATAATTGCATCTTTAAAACCACATTTTCTATAGTTTTCTAAAAATAAACAACAGCTTTTCAATAACTTTGCACATTGAGTGATGTCCATGTCTTTTTCTTGAAGAGTTTTACTAACAATATTGACTTGAAAAAGAACGTCATACCAGACAATTAAAGAGACAAGAAAGCTAAAATCTTTTAATTGCTCTCCTAGAGTTATCGCTTCATGTGCAGTTTCAGGATTACATCCTTCAATTTCTGACAATGCCATCAAAGCGTCATGTACATCACCAACTTGATAACAAACGGCTTTAACACTACTTATTTTTGCTTCCCACCGCGTGTCACAGAGTTTTTTTAAATGCAAAATTTTAACATGATCAATTAAAATTTTCCATCGGCTCACTGAAGCTGAGAATAGAGTAAATAATCTCTGAAGAATACCGAAAAAAGCTATAGATTTTACTGAAGACCGTGTAGAGTCACTTATTACCAAATTTAAGCTATGGTTGCCGCAAGGAACATATAATGCTAAAGGATTAAGATTTAAAATTCTTTTTTGTACACCATTAATCTTTCCTTTCATATTTGATCCATTATCATACCCTTGACCTCTGCAATTAGAGATTTCAAGTCCATGCTTAGTTAGCAACTCGATTAAAACCTCAGTAAGTCCTAAGCCTGTAGAATCAGAAACAGAAAAGAATCCTAAAAAGTACTCTTTAATTTCCACTCTAATGTCTAATGACAAGTCAACAATTCGAATAGTAAGAGAAAGTTGTTCTTTTCTAGAAATATCAGGTGTACAATCAGCAATGATTGAATAGTAAACGGCTTTCAAGACTCGGTTTATTATTTCATCATTAACCTTTTGAGACATTAAATCTATTAACTCATTTTGAATATTTTTCCCGCAATAATGGTCTGAAGTGTCACCTTTTATTGCAAGTGCTAAATGCTTTTGCATCACAGGATCAAATTTTGCAAGCATCTGTATTAGTCCTAAGAATTTGCCGTTTTGAGGCGTAAACAGTTTATCCGAACTCCCTCGAAAAGCCATATTATTTTCAGCTAGGTAAAGAGTTATATTCATCAGCCGAAAAAGAACATTTTGCCATCGCAAACTGTCTTTTTCTATAATTATAATTTCTTCATTATCTATAGTTTTTCCAGTTTTTAATCTTATTTCAGTTTCTACCCACTGTTGATAACATTTCATATGAGAGACGCTGTTTTCATGAATTCCCAATGTTTCAGTTAAATGTCTCCATTTCTTGAAACCATCAGAGACTAAGTTTGACTTTGAATTATTATTAAAAAGTAGACAGCAAAAATAAAATACGAAGTTTTTAGAATCTGAATAAACCAACCATCTACGGCAAAAGGTTTCTCCATTCGCAAGCTTTCTATTGTAATAAATGCTAGAAAAATGTCGACCATTTCTATCTTCAGGTTATTTTTCCTTTGTAATTTGAAAAGGTCCAAGTTTGATTAAATGGTCCACAAAGTTGCTAGATCGAACAATTGGCCATCCAATAAATTAGGTGTTTCTTGTAAAAAATCTTCCAATAAATCATTCGATTCTTTTAAAATAACTGGTTCATTATCTACTTCAATTTGCAATGAAGTTATACAACTATTTTTGAGTATTGTTGAAGGTTCTCCAATTTTATTGGACATTGTTGTAGAGATAGTTGAAGCATCAGGGTTAAAATCTTCACGACCTTCGTCAGGTTTTTTATAAGCAACATATTTTTCAATGCTCATGAATTTTTTAATTTTTTCAAATTTTTGATCTTTAACGGACTTTCTTTTTCTGTACTCATAACCAGACAATTTTTTTCTCGAATTTGAAATTTTGTGTGACATGAGACAGAATATTTTTTAAGATAAAATTATTTCTACAATTAAAAAAAAAAAAAATTTAACAACCTTCTCAAAACACATTCTTAAAATTATTAAAGAAATAAAAAAAAAAGTAACTAAACTGAAAATTGTTTAAATCGAGTCAACTTAACATTTAATAACAAAAAATAAAAACTTTTGAACTTATTTATAAAAAATTTTTTGCAACTTTTCGAAATGACTCCTAGGGGAAATAACGCACAAATGATACTACAAATTATAATAGAAAATCGTGCGTTAATTAAGTAAATGTAATAGTTTTTTGTCTTCAAATTTAAAATCGTGTTTTTTTTTTTTGCAAAGGTCGTTAAATCTTTTAATTTACTTTAAATTTTTAATATACTACTGGAAAGTTAAAACTTGTGACTAATAAAATTCTCCGCCCCTATTTACTTGCCGCCCTCGTGCAACGCACGACCTCGCCCCCCCCCCCTCTAAAAGCCGGCCCTGATCTTCCACAAGGCACGTAAGGCCCGGTCCTAGGGCCCATAAATTTTTTGGAACCCTCTAATTTTCAGCATTTATTAATTTTTTAGCCCATTAGAACTTTTCTGACGTAACAGTAGAAATAAAATATTTATTTCTACTGTTACGTCTATAAATAAAATAAAATATTACAGTAGAAATAAAATATTTATTTCTACTGTTACTGTTACTGTTACGTAGAAATAAAATATTTATTTCTACTGTTACGTTATTTCTACTGTACTGTTATTTCTACTATTTCTATTATTAAAAATATTTATTTTATTTAAAAAAATTTTAGGTAAAAAAGAACTGAAATGATTTCAAGATTATTTGTTTGGATTTAACCTTTCCGCTCCGAAGTACGTCTTAATAATTTTGACACCAAATATTAATTGTTTGAGATTACAAAAAATATATATATAAAGTTTTAAACTTCTCCAGTAAAAAAAATGTATTGTAGATACGAGTTTTTATCCAATGCTAGTTACGCGGTTTTGTACTATCCCCAACGATTTAGTTTTCTAAATGTCATTGAAGCGTTATTAAATTTACCTTACACTTAAATAATCTTGCTATTTAATAAAAATATAGAATAAAGTTAAACAAAACTAACAATGAGCAATGTTTAAAAATGATTTAAGTTAGGGTTGTTCGCCGAAAAACAAAACTTGCGAAAATTTCGCATCTTTATCTACCGTAATAGAATTGTTATTACGGAAGTTGCACATGCGAAAATGCACATTCCGTAACGCGCTATACGAAAATATAAATAAATAAAATTCCGTAATAAAGCATTGCGAAAGAAAACTTGCGAAACAAATCATTTCGTAAGAATACTTACGAAATAGTTCCTTACGGAAAAACCATTCCGGAATGTGTAGTTACGAAAAAGACGCAAAAGATTTTATGTTACGATATATTTAAGATATTAACTGTTAACAGTTTAAATAATAAATAATAAAATTATAAAAAAATGTTGTCAAATGATTCTTCAAATGTTTATACAAATATACAAAATATATATATATATATATATATATATATATATATATATTATATATATATATATATACATTAACGGGATTTTACTGTATATATATGTATATATATATATATATATATATATATATATATATATATATATATATATATATATATATATATATATATATATATATATATATATATATATATATATATATAATATATACTTATATATACAGTAAAATCCCGTTAAGTTGGACTCTCAATGAATAGATAAACAGTATGCCTTTCTTTTTAAAAAGTATAAAGAGAATGTGTGATAAACAATTAAATACTTTATTATAAAGAACGAGAGATCTCTCTAAAGGTAAATGATATCAAAAAGAGTAAAAAGAGAAGAAATATATGTGAAACAGCGGGATGTGAACCTGGGTCTACGCGGCCAAATGTCTTAAATGAATGAGCTATACGTTCATTCAACTAAGAGAATAGTAATATTTATTTAATATATAATTTGAAACTATATAAAACAGAATTTACAGAAAGAGATACGTATGCAAATAGGATTCTATATATCAGAAAAATGAATAGTAATGTGAACCTTTAGATGCTTATAATTAATATCTGGACTCAAAAACTAGTTACTTTTAATGGAACACAATAGGCTGTAGGAGCTTCAGGGAAATTATATTCAGAAATGGTTATATTAGACTCAGAGTTAGCTAAAAATTATTACAAAGTATTTAGGACAGATGTCTAGTACAAAAAGCAAAAGATTTAAAGCAAAATGAATTATATTATTTGAAAAAAATGTTTTACGTACATTTCATCATAATTTAAGTAGAACTTAGTAAAGCAAGGGAAACGTGTTGAATTAAGCACAATGAACTCAATCTTAAAAGAATAACTAACAGAAGAGAGGTTGTCACTATTGTGAAGGCGACGAAAGATCTGTAATATAGAACATGGAGGTCAAAAAATGCTATCTTAAGTAAAAAGAGTTTGATGAACAAAAGTTACAATGGCTGCGGGATGCGAACCCGGATCTCTGCGGCGAATTATCACGTATCTAACTGATTGAACTATACAATCTTATACTCAAATTTATATCTTATTAAAATTAAAAAACAAAATTTTCTATGATCTATACTTTGAAAAGCGTATTCAAACAGGACTCTACATACCTTTAAAATCTGCTAGAATTTTAGTAACGTGCACACTTTTAGAAATTATTGAAATAGGTATATTTTATCAGAAATATGCTTAAGCTAAAGCATATTTTTGAGCCTCTTTTTACTATTTGCTTAAGCATATTCGAACCTGTTTTAAAAATTTCATATGCTTTAAAAAAAAAACATGTATATTCCTACCCATCATTCTTATTTTTAATATACGTAATGAGTTCAAAAAACATCGTTGTATATATTTATTATGGCACGTTTCGTAAGTTTATTTTCGTTAAGAATTCTTTCGTATGTTGTGATCCGAAATACTTTCGTTTCGAAAGAAATTTTATTTTTTATCAATATTTCTAAAAATAAAACCGTAAAAATTTAATAAGTTATTTTACTGAAAATAAAAATTCATTATAAACATTTTGGGATTTAAAGATGTTAATTTTTACAATTAAAATCAGTCTGGCAAACAAATTTTCTTTATAGACTTCAAAACGTCGTTTGGCAAAAATGTTTGTTTCGCAAGTGCGACTTCCGAAACCGCTACTTTCGTATGTTGCAAAATAGTTTTGTTTCGTATGTCAACTTGCGAAATGCTAAATTTCGGAAGTGGCTTTTGCGAAATGAACATCGGCGATTTTAAATGTTTTGTAACATTCGGTACGAAAAAATGTAATTCCGTGTTCTCAATCTCCTTACGAAAGAATGTTGTTTTTCCGGAATTGCACGAAATCCTCCGGTTAACAACCCTAATTTAAGTACCAAAAATGCACAACATACTGCTTAAAATAACGGTCTCTAATTTTAAATAAACTTTTTTAGGGTAAAACCACCAAATCCTGCCGCTTAATTTTAAACTGCGTCATATATTACCGCGAATGGCTTAGATTCTTATAAATATTTCTAAACTCTTAAAAAACCTCTTGAGATGCAATTTATGACAAGTTTGGAAATTTTTGTTAATAAATTTAACAAGTTTTAGCACAAATATTACATATTAAAAAAACACCAAATCATGACCAGAGATTCGAAACATGGCCATTGCAAACTTATTCCTGGCCATTACGTTTTACAAAGTAAAAGTAGTGATAATATTTTTAAATTTTTTTTTAAACTCTTTACAATAAATTTGTTTTGTTTTAAATTTAAAAATTCAAAACAAAACAAATTTATTGTTAAGAGTTTAAAAAAAGAAAATTTAATTTTTAAATTTAAAAATTTAAAACAAAACAAATTTATTGTAAAGAGTTTAAAAAAAGAAGTCTGCATAAATTTTTACTTATGTAAATTTAATTCTTTTTTTAACAGGTAAACAAACCATAGATTTTAAAGCGCTTCGCAAGGTTTAATGTTTTTAAATTAGCAAATGTCTTAAAATAAATAAAAAACGGCTCTCCGTTTCCAACTTCACCGATAACGTTTAAGTCTTCGAGCAGGGATCGAACCCGCGACCTTTGTTTGCTCTAACTACTGTACCACGACTGCTAATCTAATAATAATCATTTCATTTATATCGTATCTACACTCT